TATCCTGCCTTAGCAAAATCAAAAATTTGCAGCAACAAGTTTGCATGAGTTTTCCTGCAAAATTTTATTTCTGCTAATTTGCAAGAAGGAATAACAGTTTGCAGCAATATTTGCTGCAAATTTGCAGCAGGTCTGATATTTGGTAAGGGAAATCTTTGACAAAATCTACATCTCCCACACGACGTCCACATACATGAAGCTCATATACATGTACACTGTTAAAGTAGAACTCATATTACTTTTTTATTTGTTTAGTCAGTGAAAGTCCTTCACTTGATCTGGCCTGTTGGAAAAAATAATGGAGAAAGTAGTTAACTTTCAATAAATGGCCATTCAGATTGAGAAGAGCCAAGTGTTAGCTAGGCTGCAACCTAAATATGGTGGACCTACATGAAAGGAAGATAGCTTAATCGTGTAATGGTCTCTCCGCCTCTCACATGCTTCCCCATGAAACCTCGGCTCAATTCAACAGGTCGAGATTTGACGCATGGGTAGGCGTGTGATGGATGGAGAGACCATTACAGGATAAGGCTATCTTTCTTTAATGTAGGTCCACCATATTTAGGTTGCAGCCATATTTAGGTCGAGGCCTAGCTACCACTCAGCTCTTCTCGATCTGAATGGTCCCTAAAGTTCAGATATGAAGTATGAGCCCTGGTAGAAATAACTCTGGCACAACTTGGTGAGTTATCTGGGTAGATGAGACTTAACACTGAGCAGTTAACATCTATTTTCGTTTTGTTTGCTGTTTCGTAGCCAGTTACTTGGTTCTTTTTTCTCTTATCGATAGTGCAATCATCATTTTGGAAAAAATAATTAATTCTGGCAACTTGCAAAAAAAAAAAAAAAAGAAAGAAAGAAAAACATTTTGTCAGTTTTGAGCACACATTACGTATCTTTGGCTTATAAGTTACAATCTAAAAGTATTTTGACTAACATGGTAGAAACCACAAAGGTGAAATAGAAGGCAACACCTCATCATTATTTATTTGACATAGTTTTTACCAATAAAGAGGGTGCAGTTATTCATCCTCACCTCACCTGCCCTCATTCTTGCTCTCAAGTGTGTTATCTCCTTGAAGTATTTCTTACCTTTCCTTTCCCAGATCCTGTTAAAGGTTTTGATTGACTAGATGTATCCTGGCATTCTACTGGATTAATAGATTTATTTTTTAATGCAATGAATTGCTGAACATCGTATTTCTGTTGGTCACTCATGGTGTCTCTGCAAGGAACAAAAATGATGTTGTAAAGTTTTCGAATTCGAGGAGGAATTCATTTGAAGAAGGGGTGTATGTTGTAAAGCAAATGACTTACACTTAAAATAAGTACAGATAACAATTAAAACAGAATCAAATGTGTAAAAGGATAGGAAGTTATTGAGTGCAAGTTGAATTTCTTTAAGTGTCAACAAATGGAACATTTCAAAGTCACATATAGTTTGATTTGATTGGTTAATTTTTTAATAGATTTGCACTTTTCTAACGTGTAAAACTCATGCAAACTCGAGATGGACAAGGTCAAGCTTGAGTAATTCGAATAATATTTTTAATATTTAAATTAAAAACGAGTACTTCTCACTGCAATTACCTAATAAGGAAATATTGAATAGCATTTTGTAACATGAGAATGGAAAATTCTTTGGAAAATAGAGTATAAATACTTGTGAAATTTTTTTAAAAAGTGATTCGGTGAATAAACGTTTGAAAGCTCCAGACCATTGTCGTCTTTCCTCACTATAACAATGACAATACATTTTTTGTGTTGCAAAATGGCAACAAATATCTGCAGTATGGCTGCAAATTAGCAGGAATAAATTTTTTCTTTCAAACTCCTGCAAAATATTGCTGCAATTTTGCTGCAAACTTTTCATTTTGCTAATTAAGAGCTGTTATTTAGGAACATTTTTCTTACGATCAAATGCAACTTGCCTTCAGTTTACAAATGGCCGCGCGGTGTGCTTGAAGGGGTTGAAAGATACAGTGGTAGCGATAGGCTGATATTTTTAGACATTCTTTTATGACTTCAGTATATCAATACTTGTAAGTGGTCTGACAGAGGTTTATACCCCATGCCATAACAGTGAGTGTTGAATAATGTTAACAACACTCAGAATTTTTTTGTGCTTTTGTTGATCGAGGTTATTTTATGAGTCTGTGAAAGGCCAGGTTTGCATTTTTTATTGGTGAGCAAACATGGTGTAAATAAAAAGCCTGTAGGTATGTATTAAGTCAATAAAAATGCAGTAAGAGCAATTTATCGAAATATTTACAAGGTGTATATATATATTACTAAATAATGGACTACCCATTTTCAGTGACGTCATATTTGCTCCGTAACAATAGTCTCGTGACCATGTTGGAGGAAAAAAACAACAGGGAATAGTAGTGTAAATATATATGAACCAAATAAATAAAGTAAGCTACATATTGTGATTGACTACACCAAAGGGAAAAGGATATACAAGTGGAAGCTTTAAACCACCAAATAATTTCCCATTAACAGCCATACTAAGAAATGCCTGCAAAACTCCGTGAACAAAATAAATGGGTGAAACATTTCCCATCCCCATGGACAGCAGACACACTGTCATAACTCGCAATGGCACAAAAATATACTGTCATCAAGTAAACATTCTTTCCAGCATTACTTGAACATGTGCACCCCTCTGTTTGTAAACAAACCACTGCACTGCTCACAGTCAGTACCCAGCGGGCAAAATGACTTTGTTTCAACGTTGAAACAATGTTGAATTCAACGTTGACAAGACGTTGGATAAACATTGGATTTGAAAGTAGGATCAACGTCAAATAACAACATTGTATCAACTCAGTTGTTAGACAACATTCTTGCATGAAAAGGCATTAAAATGACCTGAAATGGTTTTATTTTTATACAAGTACACAGGTACACAATTATAACGTACACTGTAAAAACATCATTTAGCTCCTAAACACAATTCTTAGTGCCTGCTTTGTCTCATTTTTTCAATGCATTTAGCTCCTAAGCACGTTTTGCTCCCAAGCATGTTACATGCTTTTACCCTGGATGTGTTTAATGGTATGACGCGTTTGATGGCTAAATATATGTTGGGTGTATACGTATGACCTTTAAGTTAAGGTTTCCTTGATTTAGCTTTAAATATGTATATATATCGATCTAAAAGCTCTGGGAATACAGCCTAAGAAACTTAATTGTAAATTTATTTAGGAGAAGTCAACAACTGGTGGTCATAATTTAAAGAAAGCACAACCTACAAGAGCTTTCTTGTTGATAAAGGACAGCCATCTATTTCTGCATATCAGACTATCTGTGGGAAGTGCACCATACAAAATTTTATATTTCTTGCAAACTTCTCCATTTATCCTTTAAAATTATGAGAAAGAAAAAGTGAGTTCCTGCTCACAATTCTGAATAAGTAGAATACCTATCCTAGTTGTGTGCAAGATATNGTCTCCATAGAAGTGATTGTTGCAGACTGGCTGCTCTTGCATGTAATATATACTTGTGTGTCATCTGCAAAAATAACAGTGTTCAGACCATGCTTTAGTATGATATCTTCTACAGGTAACATGTATAATGAGAATAGGATCGGACCTAACACAGACCCTTGTGGGACACCGTACTCAGGATAAAATCAGGATAAAAACTTCAAAACAACCAATGAACACTGCACATTTGACTTTGGGCATACATTTTCTTTAACTATCCCAGTCAGGCCACGTGACGAAAGGTTTGGAGTGTACATACAGGACATTGTTACCTGTGGCCAAAATTTTGAAAGAGATGAGAAGGACACTTTAAAGTCGAGTGCAATTAACTGGCATCGCAGAATTATTTTGGGCTTCTACAGAGTTGTGATAAACATTTGGAATTGAGAACTAATAACAATACTTGGCAGATTCTCTTCAAAAACAATCATTTAAAGAGCAAAGTTAGGAAAACCAGTGAAATTCAGAACTTATTAATCATTTTCTCAAAATTCCTCTGACAAAGGAGAGGAACTGGGCCCCGTATCTCGAAAGCATCGCGTATTGCGAATCGCTATATCAAAAAGAGGCTACAGTGTATTATATGGGAAGAGTATGGGCGAGTAATGGAATCGAGACGCTTGCGCACGTGCGCAACATAGCGAAGCTTTCGAGATAAGGGGCCCTGATCTCTTCTTTCAGTGTTATATTTTCAGTTCTGAATGCTGCTTCATACTGTCATACAAACAAACTGGCAGCTCACCTGTAAATTACTTGGCCAATTAACATGCTCATTAAGCTGTTAACAATGCAAAGACCCAATTATGGTATGGGCCACGTCCTAATTGGGATGTGGTCTGGGCCAGTTAAGAAGTAGACTAGATTGGGACCTGATCTGTGACACATGCGTCGTGTATATCGGGCTAGGTGTGGTAGCATTGCATTATTTGTTATACGTACAATAGAAATCTTAAATGTTTCAACAAACCCCTATTTTGAGTAGAACACACTGATATCACTGCCAGTGATATAAGCCCCATGGTATGTATTACATTAATTTAAAAGACCATTTTATGTGTGCTTGAATTGAGAGGAATCTCTGAGGCTAGTTTGCTGTCAAAAATTTTGTTTTTACAATACAACAGAATCATATAGCTGTTAGTTGAAAATGTCATTTTATTGACATTTGCGCTTTGATTAATGTTGCGCTATATATACTTGGATGGGAAGTCCTATGTTCACAGTCTTACTGCAACCCTGGATTTTACTTTTTCCCTATGACTTTGTTATAAATTATAATTTTCAGTAAAATAATTGGGAACTCTTGTTTACTGCATTTTGTAGAGCTTGTCAAGCACAACAAAGGAGGTGGTTTCCTTTTTTTTTTTTTTTGTTTTAGATACAAATATGCTTACTCCAGCTGGTGGTACAATACCCGGAGGTGGTATTGCCTCTCTGATATTCTAGTTATTTAATTATTTCACCTGTATTACTTCACAATTTTAAAGACTGACTTAACAGAAATAACAGATGTGATAGTGTATGGTCGTAATATCTATCTGACAGTGATTGCTAGGAGATCTACCAGAATGGCAGGGACCAGGTTCTTGAAAAGAGGAGTTAATTGTATGGTAAGAATATTTCTACAGTTGTAAGTTTGTTCCACACATAACTCATTGCATCATTGAATTTATATGTATTTTAAATCATTTCCAAATTTTCCATTATATGTGAATGTTCACCGAGCGGCACCGAATGGCACCAATAAGAAAATCTTTTCAATGTGTTTGCTACTTATAAAGACAATGCTCTGTAGAAATGAAGAATGTACACATTTTCTTTATATTCAGGGTGAAGTTGCCAATGAGGTAGAGACCGAGCAAATTGTGCATGATTCCACAATTTTAGACCTAAGAAGAGCCAGGATATCTTCCTTTGTGCAATTGCGAGGTTCCATTCCACTTTTCTGGTCACATGATCTATCCAAGGTCATGCCAAAGCCCCCTATTCAGAGTAAGACAAGATTTATTTTGTAATTTTATAAAGGGCAGGAAAAATGCATTATGATATATCTTTTATTATTGCCTAGTTTTTCTCATATTTAAGAGAAATAGTTTGATTGGGATGGAGATTGTCATTGAGAATATCATTTTAAGATACATTTTGCTACATCTTTTTTCCATTATGTTTCAAAGTGAAACATGATTAATTCATTTTAAAAACAAGGATACATCTGTTTTTTTAAGAATTATTATGATTAGAATGATGACTGTCAGTTGTTTGAATATTGTTGCATCTGTTTCAATAATTTCATTGCTTCTTTGGTATTTCAGTTGACCACACTGACCCCTATGGCACAGCACCAGGTCAACACTTTAATAAGTTACTGAGGCGATATGGGGCCCCAATTATTATCCTTAACCTTGTCAAGGTAAGTTTGAATACCTTAAGGCGATACATAATTTAATAGGTCTGTAGTTTTCAGTTACCATTAAAACTGTTGTTCTGCCACAAGGTGTTCAGACGTTTTAATGGCATCTTCTCTCTAAAAAGTGTCTAATACATGAAATAAAACAATTTGATATGACAAATATAAACCAAAATACTAATAATTGACAGGTAATTTCACATTATCTATAACACAAATTTTCATTGCAGACTAGAGAAAACAAAAAACGAGAAAGTTTGATAAGTGAAGAGTTTATCAGGGTTATCAAATACCTGAATCAGTTCCTGCCACCTGAGCATGCAATAGAACACATAGGATTTGACATGGCTAGAGCAAACAAAAAGTATGTGACACACACACACACACACACACACACACACATGCTCACATGTGCACACACACAGATGCCTTTATTTGCATGAGTTTTTTATGAAATGGTGTAAAATAATATATAATATGAAATTTAAATTTATAAAGAGATATTTGTCTATCATTGAAAAGTTAATCTGAATAGATAAATATGAGTAAATGTAACTATTTCTATACATACAGTCTTCAATCGTAGTAGTATGTGAAATTGAGGGTTAAAATGTTATCAAAAATATTTTCAGGAAAAATGCCAATGTGATGCATGATCTTGGCAAGATAGCCCAGTGGTGTGTGCGGAAGAATGGGATATTTTCTAGTAAACCAGACTTCCACTGTCACCAGTGGAGCCAGGATTTCAGGTAGGCAGCAACATGGACCAGAGTAAATGACCTGAAACTAATTCTTCAATATTAACTAACTAAATAAATAAATAAATACAGCAGAAAGCTGTGTTAGCATCAAAGTTTGCTAATGCCTCACAAAAAACATACCACACATAATCTTGCCTTGGGTCGAAGGATTTATTCATTTATGTATTTGTATATCTATTTAAGACTTTATTTGTCTACAGGTGGAAGAGTCTCCAGGGATATAGAGATGAACAGGGGATGCGGCAGACAGGGGTGGTTAGGACCAACTGTGTGGACTGTCTGGACAGAACCAACACAGCACAGTTTGCAATTGGGAAATGTGCACTAGCATATCAGGTAGGCTGTAATTATTTTTACACCAAATGCCTGTAATTTGTAAAAATTGTGATTGTTGTTCAGTTTAATTAACTTTTAGCTTTGATAGCATTGATACTTTTTGAACACCATAGATATGTGGAAGTTTTTAGTTTTCCCTGGCTGCTAGACAGCACTGAAGACTGATGACTAACTGCTGAAAGCAGCAACTACGTGTGCACCCTAAAGGCAAGGGCACCTGACCAGCTGGGCTAGCTCACTTGTATGACTACTGCTCAGACACTAACAGTAACTGATAAATAACATGTACTTATGTCTTATTTATGGATAATTGTACCACCAGCGTTAGCGCTGGCGGTACACATGGTTTCGGTCTCGTCCGGATCGTTCCGCCGGCTCTGCCGGACGGCTACCGTTACCGCTTCTCCTCCTAGACGGTGACGGGCCNTTTTAACCATTTTGAAAGCACTCTTGTCTGAGACCATCTTCGCCTTGGATCGTACTTTCTGGACAGTATCAAGCCATACACCAACAGGCCCGCTGGTGGTAATGTTCCTATCATCTTGTGCCGGTCTCCTTCCATGATAAACATGAAATGGGCTTGTGCCCAGACTTGAGTGCCATTGCCTATTATATATTTTTGCATATTCCTGCAGTCTGCTTACCCAATCGGTGAACCTGTGATTTGACTTTTTCAGGTCATAAAAAATCTGCTCTTCCACCCTTTGTGGGAGGATTCAATTTTGCCCTGCGATTGGGGATGGTAAGGCGAACTGACGATCTTTTTTATGCCCCATGATTTGCAAAATTTTTCAACATTCTTCCGGAACTCGGTCCCCCTGTCACTCTGGATAAACTTAGGATGGCCCTCTGACGTATAGATATCCCTCAAGTGCCGCACCACTTCCTTGCTGGACTTCGTCTCCAACGGCCGCAGCCACATATACCTACTGAAACAGTCTAGTATGCTTAGTACATAACGGTACACTCTCTTGCCTTTTTTCACAGGGTGCTTATAAGCTTATAAGCGCCATCAGATTGACCTAGTGGTAATGAATATATTCATTACCACTAGGTCAATCTGATGGCGGTTTTGTACTTCGTGTGCTTTTATGGGTATAAGTGGCGATTTATTGTCAAACAAGGGTTGTGTCAATTGCTTTAATTTGAGATTTTTGAGGCCATTATTGGTTTTTTTTCTAGATATCCCCCATTTTTTCTCTTTTATTTCTCTTGTAATCTTCCTAGAACTGCCTCCTTTTGTTGAGTCAAATGTATTCTCTATGACCTTAGTAACTTCTCCCGTTTTTAGCAGGAGTTTTCCGTTGAGTAGGATTCTAGTTTCTGTTTTTCCCAAAATTGTGATTTCCTTTATCTTTATTTCATACTGGCAGCGCCATCGTCGGACCAATCGAAATGCAGCTCGATGCGCCTCTGAAGATCTTTCGTTGATGTTTCCTTCTAGAACATCTATTCAAAAGAAAAGAAAATATACATAATAGTATTTGAAATATGTGCATTTTCAACGTTACCCAATTTTCATCTTACCCAAGTACTTGCTGCAATATAGGAAACAGGGCTTACTGTTGCTGACTGAAAATTTATATTGTGATTCCATGATATTTTGACAAATCTGAAACAATATTTAGACCACAAATGGAAAATACTTTATTTAATGCTTATTTTACCGTAGGTAGGGTGTATTTTCTCGGGTATTTTTAAAATTCAGTGACAAGCAAACTAAAGTTGCTCAAAAATTATGTAAGTGACGATCTCAAAAGGATGTAAGCACCTCGCAAAAAAAAATTCTGGTCAAAATGATACTTTCATTTTTTTTGTACAAACGGCGTTCCAAAGCCGTCAGCTTCCGTTTGCCAATGTTATGTCAGTGTCCCATCTATATTTCTAACAATTTCACGGATAAATCAATGACTGTGTACATAAACAAACCCCTGTTACTCACCAGCATGTATCCACCTACAAGGGTAGTCGGCTCCTTGTTGTGCTCTGTGAACTGCCGCTAGAGGACGCTACGAGCGCTGTTACGCGACTCGTTTTTTAATAAATGAATTCCCACAAAATGACATTTCATGTTGACTTTATTATAATCGTACTTTATTGGGGAAAAAAAAGATTCATATATTGACCTTGTTCATGCACGATGCATTTTAGCATGCCGGAAAGAAAATTGTCATAATACAATTAGAGCTGTGCGCACGCTGCTATCAGTGACCTACTTTTCAAAAACTGCGGGAAACAATGACAAGAATGCCAGCAGCATATGTGTCGGACACATCTGGCTCTTTTTTGTTGGACATATCTGGCCTGTCGGCCACATCTGGCTATTTTTTGTCGGACACATCTGGCCTGTCGGACACATCTGGCTCTTTTTTGTCGGACACATCTGGCCTGTCGGACACATCTGGCTCTTTTTTGTCGGACACATCTGGCCTGTCGGACACATCTGGCTCTTTTTTGTCGGACACATCTGGCCTGTCGGACACATCTGGCTCTTTTTTGTCGGACACATCTGGCCTGTCGGACACATCTGGCTCTTTTTTGTCGGACACATCTGGCCTGTCGGACACATCTGGCTCTTTTTTGTCGGACACATCTGGCCTGTCGGACACATCTGGCTCTTTTTTGTCGGACACATCTGGCCTGTCGGACACATCTGGCTCTTTTTTGTCGGACACATCTGGCCTGTCGGACACATCTGGCTCTTTTTTGTCGGACACATCTGGCCTGTCGGACACATCTGGCTCTTTTTTGTCGGACACATCTGGCCTGTCGGACACATCTGGCTCTTTTTTGTCGGACACATCTGGCCTGTCGGACACATCTGGCTCTTTTTTGTCGGACACATCTGGCCTGTCGGACACATCTGGCTCTTTTTTGTCGGACACATCTGGCCTGTCGGACACATCTGGCTCTTTTTTGTCGGACACATCTGGCCTGTCGGACACATCTGGCTCTTTTTTGTCGGACACATCTGGCCTGTCGGACACATCTGGCTCTTTTTTGTCGGACACATCTGGCCTGTCGGACACATCTGGCTCTTTTTTGTCGGACACATCTGGCCTGTCGGACACATCTGGCTCTTTTTTGTCGGACACATCTGGCCTGTCGGACACATCTGGCTCTTTTTTGTCGGACACATCTGGCCTGTCGGACACATCTGGCTCTTTTTTGTCGGACACATCTGGCCTGTCGGACACATCTGGCTCTTTTTTGTCGGACACTTCTGGCCTGTCGGACACATCTGGCTCTTTTTTGTCGGACATATCTGCCCTTCTCTGGTCGTAGGTCATATCTGGTCTGTAGGACATATCTGGCCGTCACACGCAACTATGCGCCAGGAAATCAGTTGCTGCTGCTGGTCAAGATTGGGTTGCCTGAGTGAAAAAAAAAAAACGGCCCTAAACCCCCCCTAAAACCTTGTATATTTGATAGCAGACAACAATCAGCGGTCATCTTGGTCGCAGCGCACGACGGAGAGAGACCGTAATACAAAGTTCGGCTGCCGTGGCGAAGGCTACCTGTGCGCCGCACATACCGATCTGCGGTCGTAGTGGCCTCCCTGCACGGTGGAGAGGCCGTAGTGCCGAGGCCGGCTTCTGCAGGGAAGGCTACGTATGCGTTGGAGACACCGACCCGCGAACGACGAGATGAGGACGCATTTGCGCGTAAAGCTCTGCCCGACTTTAACGGTAAAGGCAACGAACCTGGTCGCGGAAGACACTTATCGCAGATGAAGGCTACCTGCACGTGTGCCATAGACACTGATCGGCTGTCGTCTCGGTTTCACGGTTGCACGGAAAGGAGCAACGGTAACACTAAGCTTCCATAGTAAAGGTAATCTGGCCGTGACAGACCCTAATTGTCGGCCGTCTCTCCCTCCGTCCACTCCCGTTCTGAGCGCCAGGATCGTTTTTGAAAAACGACACTAGTTTCTGGCTGCCAGAATCGCTTTTGAAAAACGACACTAGTTTCTGGCTGCCAGAATCGCTTTTGAAAAACGACACTAGTTTCTGGCTGCCAGAATCGCTTTTGAAAAACGACACTAGTTTCTGGCTGCCAGAATCGCTTCTGAAAAGCGACACTACTGATAACGATGACACTACTGATAACGATGTTTTGCGGCCCTAGACAACAGTACAACTCTATCTATGGGCCATATACAGTGATCGCGTGAAAGTACGTGTACACCTTTGGTCGCAATTACCGACACTCACATATCATACATTATGGTAACTCTAAATAGATCGTTGGGAGAAGATAACAGAAGGCCTAGCGACGTGTACACCTTTGGTCGCAATTACCGACACTCACACATCATACATTATGGTAACTCTAAATAGATCGTTGGGAGAAGATAACAGGCCAGCGACGAAATGACAACTTCCGGTCAAAATTGACAGAATTCCATGAAATTCGAACGTTTGGAAGTTCTGAGCACCTCCATTTCATGAATTTCGGCCAGAACAATCTTTTCCCAAATGTAATTATTTTCTACTGTTCGAAATTCATGGCACATTACCGTAATGTGGTGTTTCAGAATCTAAAGGCATAGAAGGAAAACAAATTGTCATCAGGAGCCACAAGAGTGATGAAAGAATTAACTCCTATTTTGAGTACTACAGGCCATTTGAATTGACTAGACTGGATGACTTGTTTGCTTTTCATATGCCTGACTCCATAAGGTAATACTTAAGATATAAAGAATGGTATATCTTTACATTGATCAGAATTGGTCACATTGTATCTGAATAAGCATAGACAACGTTCTGAAAGATTTCTTTAACAGTTCACATATTATACAGTTTTGTACCAACTTGTATAAGGAAAGTGTTATGAAGACAATATTTAACATACTGTACGCACAAAATTTAATTTAGTTTTACTGTACCAGCTTTGCTATTTTGTAAGTATGATGCATATACAGTTAAAACAGTAATATGAACTTGAAAACAATGATTTTTTAAAGAAATTTCATGCCGAAGACCAACCAGAACTTCAGTCCCTTTGCTGTCAGAGTTGCCCCTTCCAGGAGGTATGTTTATAAAAAGAATTTGGAATTAGTATATTGTACTTTTTTGCTATCTTGTGGACAGAATTTATGAACCTTACACACAATTAAGATCCCAAAATCAATTGTATTTTCAATTTATTTTGGAATATATTTTAAATGTCTTACCGTAAAGAGGCTGAAATGAAAAGCAATCATTAATTGTAGGACGTAACAAGGTTTCAAATTCTGAGCATAAGTGGAATATCTTAATTCATATTTTTATTTTTATGTTTGGTATTTATGTTTAATAGTGGTGTTAGTTTAACTAAAATGAAGGTTGATTTGTTGTGTTATAAATTTTTGTGTGGTTATTTTTTTATTTTGCTATTTCACCTTGTCAGTCTGTTATTGAATAAGTAGATTAGTTGGTCTTAGAAGTACACACAATAACTGTAGATATATTTTCCTTTTCTTCTCTTTAAGTTATATAAACTTACGAATCAGTGGTTTCAGGGATTTATCTTTAACTTTGGCAGAAAAGATTAGGTGAATTGGGTTGTGTTATTTATTGTCTTGCTTTTTATAAAAACATTTTCACTTCAAACCCCTTTCCCTTTTGACACCTGCACTGACAGTCAAAAAATTTGATAACAATTTGTGAGGGTAGGGGCCTTGTTTGTCTGTATATTCCAGAAAGATAGCAGGCCCTGTTCAAACCAGTTCCTTACTACTCAAGTTTATATACTTTTTCTTGGGCTCTAAACAATTGGAGTGGTAAGACAAACATGGCTGAACTTTTCGAACAGGGCTTTTCCTTTGTGATGAAAAAGATGATGATTTTCCCACAATATGCTTTTATCCTGAAAAAATTACCTTTCCTGAAACTTCTGGTGGTAAGTGCTTGGTGAAGATGTGGATGAGAGTCACAAAAGAACTTGGCCTGATAATTAGGTCTGAAAGTTGGGATCAATTTTTGGGCTTAATTTAAGTTCTCTTGTGACAGAAATTCCTAGTGGAGTTGGCATGGACTGTGTAATTGGAAATGGTTAATTTTACGGCAAAAACAAACTTTCTGATCACACCTCAAAAATATAAGCATATAATGTTAATATTTACAGTTTTGGCAAGATAAAGTTTAAAAGTTGTGAAAGTTTGATCTGTGCTACAGCATCCACATCTACTACATTTTTAAGTTTGCACGCTGTGTTTGCTTGGTATTTGTGTTGTAGGCTTGCTCTGTCTTACCAAAACCGTCATTCTTCAAAAAACTCATCCTTGACCAGGCAAGAGTCATCAGTATTAATTCAAAGGTTGGTGTGTTGGTTATTTAATGTACTAACAGACAAGCTTGCTTTATTTCCCCTACAAAGCTTCCTTGGTTTATACTTTTTTCATGACAGCATAGTCTCTTGTATTATGTAGTTTTATATTTAAGGCTTTTTCGCCTGTTCCTTTATTTCTATGTCAAAATATTGCATTATTTCCAGGGTTTCGGTATTATTATGTATAGACAGTGGATTAATAAAGAAAAATAATGCCAAATCTTAAATTTTCAATTTTAAATTAATGATTTTACAACGGAGCACTTAATACTACATTTGGAATGCAGTAATTTGGTTTATTTCACTCCTAACAATAATATAAAAATAACAATATAGATTTACACTGTATTACTATGCTTGAACACGATAATTATTGATAAAACCTGCAGCTTGTACACTCTATACCCTGCAGTTATATGAAGTCCATTATTCAACTGGAAAAGCACTCCGAGAGCGCAGACCTCCACCAAGGCAGCAATTTTTATTATTATTGATTATTGATTGATTATTGATTTAGATCACCACCAAAAACTAATCATCTCTTCCTTGGCCCACTTCTGACAGTTACTGAAAATTTCATCCAAATCGGTCCATAACTTTTTGAGTTATGTTGACAAACAAACAAACAGGGGTGAAAACATAACCTCCTTGGCGGAGGTAATAAACTAATCTGATGAACTTGGATAGTAGGAGTGTTGAATTAACTCCATCATAAAGCTGCATGTCATCCATTTTAAGAAGTCATTGACTTTACTAAGTTTTTTCTTTAGTTGAAAAATATCCAGAAAAAATTATCAAGGACTTAGAAATTCATTTAAACTTTTATCTTTTCTTTGTTTATATTTTTGTGATCATATGAAATTTGAAGACCTAAATGTATGTTTTTTAAGATCTTTATAAATATATACACATATATTGTGCATAATTATCTTTTGCACTGCATTGCTTCTCTCTCTTAAAAGCACTGCCATAGATCCAAACCCAAACATATCTGGCAAGGATTCCACAATGTCCACACAGTCCTCAGACAGTGAAGAAGACGGTGAAGAAGCCAGTATAGAGGGAGATGTAGAGAGCTCAGACTCTGATGAAAGCATTGGTATGGCCAGCAAGTCAAAATACATCTCTTTTCAGGTAAATGTCGGGTAGAAAGGGCAAGAATTAGTATGATGAATATAATAATAATAATCTGATTATTTATTATTATATACAAGTTTTGTTTCATTTGAAGGTAATCTTATTTTCTAGATACCCTGTAACTTTCATAAGCAGACAGTTTTGCCTTTTTGGATTTCAGGGAAGCAAGGTTACAATTTGATAGATATGAAAGGGTTATAAAAACTGGAACCAAAATAATACCAGATTCTGATGGCTTTCTATTGTTCTGATCACAGATATTTTTGTCATATTTTAGAGCATTTTCCCAACAATGGAAGAAACCTATGGAGTGGAGATTACAGACCTGACAAAAACAGACAAGAGCGTTTATAAAAGGCAAGTCTGCTATTTTTTCTTCTTTTGTTTGTTATAATACAACTTCCTTTTAAAATGATAACTATAACTTTTATGCAATCGATTCACAGTTAAACAAGTTAAAATCATCTTTTAAAGTTTGTGAAAAAGTATAAAGTTTTCTTTTTAATCTCCAGGTACGTTCAGATTGGCGAGAATGCATCCAACAATTTGGATTACGAGGACGGTGCACGTGCAAGTACAACACTGTAAGTTTTAGATACTAAATGTAACTGTTTATTTGTTTATTTGAAGATATGTAATATCCATTATCTGAACATATTTCCATATCTTACACAGTACCAGTGTAGCGTGAACCTCGAGATATGGGTCCCAGTACCATATCAGAAGTATTATACACCAAAAAGGGTTTTTAATGTTGTAACTTCAGCTTTAAGCTTAGTGTCATTTTAACTGTCTATAGCACCATTTCTAGCAACTCAACTTGTTACTACTTGCTATTGATTTCCTTTTACTCCTTCATCAGAATCAGAAGAAGCATCTTCACATTGGACAGTTCCAAGGAAGTGACACCACCTTGCATCAGCAGGTACTCCAGGGAGGTTTACACCAACTGTGTCAGGGTGGGGAAGGAAGGGGCTCAGACCCCTAGTATAGCAAGCTTGAAGAAGTACCAGGAATATGTCAGCTTTCTCTATCGATGATAAAACAAAGAATTTGTTAGGAACAGTTGTCACTTTCATGTGTTTGTGGATGAGGATGCTAAGGGAGGGCACCTATTACTAACTAACTAAATCAGTATTGGATTTGAACTGTGATAGAAATGCTGCAGTTTACAGGAATTGCTGCTTATGGATCTTATCAATCTAAACAGTCTAAGTGCTGCTCGTACAAACAGAGGGGTTCTAACTTTTATTAATTTATAAAGAAACATTTGATTAATTTATGGTGCTTGTATTAAATGTGAATTTAATGTGATAATGTTGTTTACTTAGATATAAACAACATAAATGTTAAATGGAAGTATTGTAGTTTAAACTGTAAAATCTAAACAGAAATAATAAAAAAAACATTTCCAATTAACTTCCTTATTGCAGTGTTGGCGTCTTCAATTGCTCAGCAGTTTGGGTGCCCAAATGCCTTTCGCTGTGAGATTGTTCATTACAGACAAGAAATTGAAGTAATTAATTCTCGCATTTATAAAATACAATCTATCCAAGAAACTCTGCTAAAGGTATCCTTCATGTGCTAAAAATTCCCTAATCATATTTCTATTCTGCAAAACTTATATTTTCCAGTTCAGATCTAAAGACAATAAAACTGCATAAATAAGTTTATATGAAGCCTACATAATGTCAGTACTACCTTCTCAGCCAAGGTAATGCCCACGACATCTTGCAGCTTTAAAATATGAAATAAATTAGAAAAGAAACAATTCACCATTTCAAGGAGGCTTACATATCAAAATAAATTAACAAACCTGCTAAATGCATTTTCAAATTCTATTTATTTTTCATACATTCATGTTTCATTTTATGATTATGTAAATGTAATGCAAAATGTCTTCAAATATGATACATGATAAAATAGAACATGCTGAACTACTACAGTTATTTTATTTTTTACAATATGCATTTGTGGTCCACCCAATGTATTTGAACTTGGCACATTTTAATGAATGTGCAAAAACTAAAAAAATATTTTAATCATTAAAATGAAGATAATTAAGTCCTGCAAGTCACACTTCTATACAAAGGTTAATCTCTTCAACTATACAGCTGTTCCTCTCTCCAAGTTTTGCTTAATTTCCGTGGTATATTGTCCATAAAATCTCTCCAGTTTCTTGTTGAATTTTGCATTACGGTCATTAATGTAGTCAATGTCTGCATCTTCATCATGTGCCCTCCTTCTGCTATATTTAGACCTCTTTTCAATTCTGGAATAAAGATGATTTTATACAAAATCAAGCATGAAAAATATGAAAAGACCTTTGTCTTCATTGTATTAACACTCTAGATTTCCTTAAACAGACAATAAAAGTTGCAGATATAAAACGGAATAAGAGTAACCAATTTTAAACCAACCGTAAAAAAAGGTCACCATTACCGTGACCAACATAAACTGATGTCAAACTCTAACTTACTGTTTCTCCACATCTTCCACCATCCTGTCAATGGCTTCCTTGCTGTCAGTTGGTTGTGATGTGATTAGAGTACTGGTGTCAGCATAGAATTCCTCACCCCTATGGGAACAATACATTCATATTACAGTCATCCACTTTCAAAAATAGAGAACAAGCACCTGTTTATAATTATCATCTTATAGTTTGTTTATTAGTATTAGATGAAATCATACTGTGAAATACTTCGATCATTCTCACACATGCACACACAAACACACCTCTTTTGCTTATGTTTAAAAAGTTTTGAAAATGTCACCTTTACCAGGCAACTTTCACTCTAATTACTCCAATTCAAAATCATTTTATATCTTACATTTTTTCCTTCTTCCTCTCATAATCATTCATATCTGGCTTCAACTGTTTTGTCAGCCTCTGATACTGTCTGTGCGTGGCAGCTTCATAATCTGAGGAAAACAAAAGTTCAAAGTTCAATAAACAAGTCAATTAAAATCAACCAATTAAAAAATATTCTACATTTTACATTAAAGAAACTAAATTCCTTCTGCAAAATGTCTGTTAATCATTTCATTCAAAACTTACCTGAAAAACCAGGATCAGGGTTTTTCTTCTTCTTTTTCCTCTCCCACCTCTCAGCTTCATCCGCCCCCACATCCAGTAACTTCACCCTGTCATAGTCCTCTCCTTTTGCCTCACATTCCTGGAATAAGGACAGCAATTTATAACAGTACTAGAAACAGTTGTCCCAGCCTCTCCCAGGGCAAGTGCTTAACTTCAATACATGGTCACCCTAATTTATCCCACAAGTTGTGCTTTGATAAAAAGGAAAATCACACTCGTACATCATTCACAAGGGGTGTGCACTTGCTTGTATTTAAATATACTTCAGTGCGCACCATGCTTCACCTGATGCTTCCATATACATAAGCTAGTTCAAATAGAGGAAAGTATATACCTCAATAATCATACTCGTATAAAGCATACAGTGGGTGACGCATCTTGTTACACAAATGCATACATGTCATACCGTAAATATTTAAGCTCAATAATGTAGAGTAGTAAAATGTAAATTTTTATTTTATATTTAATTACTTTATTGATTTATGAAAAATGTATTGTTTAAACCTTATATGTAAAAATTTAATAATTAATAAAATTATCTTTGTATGTATTGTCACATGTTTCAGATTTTTTCCTTAGATTGTATTAAAGAGCATGGTACATTTAAGTACATTATGAATTTGTGACTGATGTTAACCCTAATGGCAGGTAAGGTAGAGGGTTGACGTATGATTAGGGAAATATTATATCCTACTTGTCTTTTCTTTTCCTCTTCCTCCTCCCATTCCACCCTCTTTCTCTTAGCTTCCCAATTTGTGGGAAGTTTCTTTCTCCTGTCCTCTTCTACTACTTCTTGGTGGTTAAGTTTTCTTGCTTCATTCTAAAAAATATTGATTTCTAAAGCTATGAATAAACTAATAAAATACATCGATTGACAGCTGTTTGAAAATGAAGTGTTCACCAGAAAGTCTGTATTAAAACTGTTGACGTCACTAGCATTTCTCTCCTTTTCACAAACTGCATGTACATGGTTAAGTTCCAAGGCTTGTTACGACTACATCTGTTACGAGATTTTATATTCACATGTACGCTAATTATTATTAATTTACAAGACTTAGAATTGCTTACTTACCCTTCTCAAATGCAGTTCTTTAAGTCTTTTGAGTCTGTCTTCTCTGCTAGATGCTCCACTTGTTGATGAAGTGCCTGCTTCTGGATCCTTAAAAAAAGATAAACAGCACAAACAACTGTTAATTATTATTTTTGACATGACCCCATTACGTTTCAACTAGAGTTAACACAAAACAGCCAGTTTCAAGAACTTCCAAAGCCTACTCTTGTTTCACTATAAATAAGGTAAACATACCACATCTATTTCTCATTTCCCATAGATATAATATTCATTTAACTTTATACAGCACATTCTTACATAAAATATTTTGAAAATTGGTGAAATTTGTCATTTTATTTTAACAAAGTTTCTACAATACGTACCTGTGTAGACATTGTCTCGTTTTCAGATCTCTTTTTACAGAAGCTCGCCCTGCTGATTGTGCTAGCTGTACGCAAAGAACAAACGAAACTAGATTGCGTCGTCTCACGTTTATCGGAATAAATGTCTCTTCAAAAAATTGTGTTTTCCTTTTGTTGAAATCTGTTTAATTAATTGTTGTCACTTGAAAAACTTGGGGTTTATGAGAATAATGACTAAATGATAATCTTAACGGAGATAAACTCGATAAACGCCGCACGCCCGGCTCCATGCCGGAGAGGGGAGAGTATCTAGTAGGGCCTAGATTCAGCAGCCTTAAGAGCGGTGGGGGAAGGGTAGGGGTAGAGGCAGCCTGACAAATGTTAAATTGGTCGTCTGATAAACAAATTCAAAATGGTCTTATTATTTTTGGGTACAGTCGCCTCTCAGTCTAGTTCATTTTGATTTTATTTCTAACAATTTTACGTTCTGTTTGGACATTTTTCATTAGGATAATGAGGCCAA